TAACTTACAGTAATATTTTTTAAAAGGAAAATGAGGGTGTAAAATCTTTGATTATTTTATCAGTGGTTTTAAGAGATGAAACTTTGAAAATTGATATATAGGTAGATTACATATCATTCCTCCTAATATGCAAAAAGAAAAACTCAAATCTTGGAGATAGTGTCTAAAATTGATCTCGAGTGCCGGGAATTGAAAACTCTCGTTCATATCATGGCTACCGGGAATGAAACTTCCTAATTTGGAAGATGACTTCAACAACAATAATAACAACAAAACAAATTAACAGTAATAAATTAATGGTTATTAATGTTTATTAAATAGTGACCGTTAGGTCACTGATTGTTAATTAATTATTGATGATTTGTTGTTGAACAGATACTAACTGTAATAAAAACACATTGCAATCACCGTGACGCCAAATTAACATTTAATAATAACACATTATTAATATAATACCGTGTCGCCAAATTCCTTGATAATTATTCATAACTGTAACTTCTTGATCAAAAGCACTCGAGTAATTTAACACAGTCAAAACTCTCGTTCATACCATGGGTACCGGGAATGAAATTTCCAAATAAGGAATGACCGATATCATTCAACTAACAAAACAAATTGAACCCGGGTCGCCAGAGTGACAGTCTGGAATGCTACCACTATACACACCCGATTCACATTGATGTTCTTAAAAATATATCCTGAACACTCCCTATATACTATTATGTTAGTACGGTGTTTTATTAATGAAAATCACCCACTCATCAAACTACACCAATAAATATGAAAAATTTTTGTCTGAAAAAATTTCAACACAACAAGATGTTAAAAGACAAGATTTACGTGTTGTTTTCACACAAGTTGGTTGTTTATTGTTGATCTTGTTGCATGGATGGTGGTTGATAGACTTCATCTTGTTGCAATAACAATTCGTCGTCTTCATCTGATTCACTTTCTTCACCATCTTCGAGAACTTGAATTTCACTTTCTTGTTGGAAGACATAGTCACCAGGCTTCTTTCTTTCACTCTTCAATTTCTTCAACTTTCTCTTACCCTTTCTAATGTAAACTCTAGTGAGAGTCTTGATTCTTTCGACAGCTTGTGGATCTCTCATAACCAAACCAACGAATGATAATACCAAGAAAATGATAGTGATAGCAATCAAGATAATTGGTGAAATATAGTAGGCCTTATAGGAGAAACCATAATTCTCCAAAGCAGTAGCAACATTTTGATTACTTTCTTGATACTTTCTAATTTCAACAGTGTACATTAATTCGACAGCCCATCTCACTGGAGAAGAACAAACCAAAACCAATGTATACCATTCCTTAGACATGGTACGAACTGTTGGTTGAACACCACCCAACAAGGCACACAAAATAATGTACATTACACCAACAAATTCAGCATGAGTTCTTTGAACGAAAACTGAAATGAAATAGCCAAGAGAACTGAAAACAATTTCGAATAATAAGAAGAGTCCATAGTATGTGTAGAATTCAGCTTCAGGATTAACGAGGATATACCAGAAAGTAACAAAGACCAATGGATAGATCAACAAGGAAGGAATTTCACCAGTCAATTTACCAAGGAAGTAACTCATCTTGTTGATACCATTCTGAGCTTCACGTCTATAGAGTTCCTTATCAGCACCAAAACATTTGAGTGAAGAT